AGCTATTGTTTTACCTATAGCACCAATGATAAAGTATAACATACTCAACCGTAATCTAGAGTATAACTTGTATAGGATATGTTATAATAATAGCTATTGTTTTACCTATAGCACTAAATATAAAGTATAATATACTCACCCGTAATCTAGACTATATAACTTGTATAGGATATGTTATAATAATAGCTATTGTTTTATCTATAGCACTAAATATAAAGTATAATATACTCACCCGTAATCTAGACTGTATAACTTGTATAAGATATGTTATAACAGTAGCTATTGTTTTAGCTATCGCACCAATAATAAAGTATAATCTACTTGTAATCTAGACTATATAACTTGTATAGGATATGTTATAATAATAGCTATTGTTTTAGCTATAGCACCAATAATAAAGTATAATATACTCACCCGTAATCTAGACTGTATAACTTGTATAGGATATGATATAATAATAGCTATTGTTTTACCTATAGTACCAATAATAAAGTATAATATACTCACCCGGTAATCTAGACTGTATAACTTGTATAGGATATGTTATAATAATAGCTATTGTTTTATCTATAGCACCAATAATAATGTATAATATACTCACCCGTAATCTAGACTGTATAACTTGTATAGGATATGTTATAATAATAGCTATTGTTTTAGCTATAGCACCAATAATAAAGTATAATCTACTCGTAATCTAGACTATATAACTTGTATAGGATATGTTATAATAATAGCTATTGTTTTACCTATAGCACTAAATATAAAGTATAATGTACTCACCCGTAATCTAGACTGTATAACTTGTATAGGATATGTTATAATAATAGCTATTGTTTTAGCTATAGCACCAATAATAAAGTATAATATACTCACCCGTAATCTAGACTGCATAACTTGTATAGGATATGTTATAATAATAGCTATTGTTTTAGCTATAGCACCAATAATAAAGTATAATATACTCACCCGTAATCTAGACTGTATAACTTGTATAGGATATGTTATAATAATAGCTATTGTTTTACCTATAGCGCTAAATATAAAGTATAATATACTCACCCGTAATCTAGACTGTATAACTTGTATAGGATATGTTATAATAATAGCTATTGTTTTACCTATAGCACTAAATATAAAGTATAATATAATCACCCGTAATCTATACTATATAACTTGTATAGGATATGTTATAATAATAGCTATTGTTTTACCTATAGCACTAAATATAAAGTATAATATACTCACCCGTAATCTAGACTGTATAACTTGTATAGGATATGTTATAATAATAGCTATTGTTTTACCTATAGTACCAATAATAAAGTATAATATACTCACCGGTAATCTAGACTGTATAACTTGTATAGGATATGTTATAACAGTAGCTATTGTTTTAGCTATCTCATCAATAATAAAGTATAATATACTCACCGGTAATTAAGACTGTATAACTTGTATAGGATATGTTATAATAATAGCTATTGTTTTACCTATAGCACTAAATATAAAGTATAATATACTCACCCGTAATCTAGACTGTATAACTTGTATAGGATATGTTATAATAATAGCTATTGTTTTACCTATAGCACTAAATATAAAGTATAATATAATCACCCGTAATCTATACTATATAACTTGTATAGGATATGTTATAATAATAGCTATTGTTTTATCTATAGCACTAAATATAAAGTATAATATACTCACCCGTAATCTAGACTGTATAACTTGTATAGGATATGTTATAATAATAGCTATTGTTTTACCTATAGCACCAATGATAAAGTATAATATACTCAACCGTAATCTAGAGTATAACTTGTATAGGATATGTTATAATAATAGCTATTGTTTTACCTATAGCACTAAATATAAAGTATAATATACTCACCCGTAATCTAGACTGTATAACTTGTATAGGATATGTTATAATAATAGCTATTGTTTTACCTATAGCACCAATGATAAAGTATAATATACTCAACCGTAATCTAGAGTATAACTTGTATAGGATATGTTATAATAATAGCTATTGTTTTACCTATAGCACTAAATATAAAGTATAATATAATCACCCGTAATCTATACTATATAACTTGTATAGGATATGTTATAATAATAGCTATTGTTTTATCTATAGCACTAAATATAAAGTATAATATACTCACCCGTAATCTAGACTGTATAACTTGTATAAGATATGTTATAACAGTAGCTATTGTTTTAGCTATCGCACCAATAATAAAGTATAATATACTCACCGGTAATTAAGACTGTATAACTTGTATAGGATATGATATAATAATAGCTATTGTTTTACCTATAGCACTAAATATAAAGTATAATATACTCACCCGTAATCTAGACTGTATAACTTGTATAGGATATGTTATAACAGTAGCTATTGTTTTAGCTATCTCATCAATAATAAAGTATAATATACTCACCCGTAATCTAGACTGTATAACTTGTATAGGATATGTTATAATAATAGCTATTGTTTTACCTATAGCACTAAATATAAAGTATAATATACTCACCCGTAATCTAGACTGTATAACTTGTATAGGATATGTTATAATAATAGCTATTGTTTTACCTATAGCACTAAATATAAAGTATAATATACTCACCCGTAATCTAGACTGTATAACTTGTATAGGATATGTTATAACAGTAGCTATTGTTTTACCTATAGCACTAAATATAAAGTATAATATACTCACCCGTAATCTAGACTGTATAACTTGTATAGGATATGTTATAACAGTAGCTATTGTTTTAGCTATCGCACCAATCAAAAAATATAAAAAGCCACTTAATTCCTAAAAAGAAAATATTGCACATAAAAAATTGTGAACACTTTTAGGTGAAAATATTTGTCAAAGCTAACACTGACAGTCAGAATTTATTTTTTAAAAAAAATATTAATATACTGATTAATGCATAATTTATGTATTTGTGCAACATAAATTCACTAAGCCCATGTGCCAAAAATTAAATACGTATATTGTAGAGCACTACAACGGACCCTTAACAGATAGTAACACGAACTGGTCAACGTGACGTAATAGCTTCCTTCTCAAAGAGCATGGCTGACATTCTGGTCAAGTCTTTATCGTTCTAACTCATTTCTGTTATTTGTGGAGATTAGTGGTTGACAATTTGGTATTTTTTTATGTTATCTTATTTAATGTATATCGTAGAACATTTGTAGCGGTCCTAACCTCCCTGTCATTTTGTATTTGTCCTGTAATATGTAAAGTTTGGGTCTGAAATCTTTCCATCGTCAATGAGTCGTCATGCATGATTAGCGTGCACTGTCGATTGCCTTATATGGAAAGTGAAAGTACAATTTCTCGAATAGCTTTGTTTACATTCTGTAGTATTTAAAAGAGTCTCTCTCTTGCCCAAATTATATGAATAGTTACTTGTTATTGTAATTTTGTATCTTTTCAGTTAATCGTCAAATATCCTATCATATCTTGTTAGATTCAGCATTGTCCACTTGTTTATGGTTTTATGATATTTTGGTTTTAATAAACTCTGTGTGAACGCTGTTCTAATGTGTTTGGGTTTTGTGGTCCTGATAGTCTTACGCATTAACAACGCCACATATATATTATAATTAAATACTTACAGCTGTTTTGAAAAGTCTTTGAAAATATATTTTAATGGCATCATAAACCATGAATTGTATTGCTGGGTTGGACGCTAAGATTATGGATGGCATAGTACCATTCCACAATGTAGAAATACCTTCATAATTTATAATCTTTCTTAAACAATCTGAAATTCAAATCTCTAATTTACATACACATCTTTATCAATATGTTACTGCTGTAAATCATTGCTATGATGAATTAATGATAATATAGGCCTATGTCTTCCCTTCATAACAATGAGGTACCGGTACCATTGAGTTAGACCCTAGGTGGCGCGCTAGTGAAATAGGACACACATCTGCTGCAGTAGTAATAGTACTTGTAGTGCATTTGCAAGTCTAAAAAGTCAAAATTGCTACATTGGCAACTTTACTAGCTCCTATTAGAATCCATAAATTGTTTGTCTTCTTTAGTTAAAGATTTAGATTTGCTATTTGGTTCGCTCAAATTTGACATCATTCTATGCCCAGAAAAGTAAAAATATAGATAAGAGAACATAAGTCTATATAACAGTCGCTACTGAGATGTCCTAGATCACTACAGCGCCACCTCATTAATACAAAACCAATCCATACTGATGTTTTACCATAAAGACATGTACAACTCAAATGACACATTTGCTCGACAAAATCTATGTAAAATCTTTGCCATCTTCCTACGATCACTGAAAGTTTTAACCTAATGCAGTATCTATATTTGGGTTAACCTTAAGGATATGAATCAATAGACTTAATGAATTTACTACCTACCTATAATGCCATTATATTTCATTTTTTTATGATCATTTTCAGTATAATGTTTAGTATGAAATTTAACACCCTGTAACTTCAGTCTAGTATTAACTACCCATAGTGGTGTGGTTACCAATACATTGATTACACCTGCAATAAAGATATTTCTTATTAGGACATTTTGTAATTTGATTATTTACTACAAAATTGAGGTATAATGATGGGACATGGTTTGAAGGTAAATTATTTACTACAACAATCACTAAATTGAGGTAACATGATGGGACATGGTTTGAAGGTAAATTATTTACTACAACAATCACTAAATTAAGGTATAATGATGGGACATGGTTTTGAAGGTAAATTATTTACTACAACAATCACTAAATTGAGGTTTAATGATGGGACATGGTTTTGAAGGTAAATTATTCACTACAACAATCACTAAATTGAGGTTTAATGATGGGACATGGTTTTGAAGGTAAATTATTTACTACAACAATCACTAAATTAAGGTATAATGATGGGACATGGTTTTGAAGGTAAATTATTTACTACAACAATCACTAAATTGAGGTATAATGATGGGACATGGTTTTGAAGGTAAATAATTTACTACAACAATCTTTAAATTGAGGTTTAATGATGGGACATGGTTTGAAGGTAAATTATTTACTACAACAATCACTAAATTGAGGTTTAATGATGGGACATGGTTTGAAGGTAAATTATTTACTACAACAATCTTTAAATTGAGGTTTAATGATGGGACATGGTTTGAAGGTAAATTATTTACTACAACAATCACTAAATTGAGGTTTAATGATGGGACATGGTTTTGAACGTAAATTATTTACTACAACAATCTTTAAATTGAGGTTTAATGATGGGACATGGTTTGAAGGTAAATTATTTACTACAACAATCACTAAATTGAGGTTTAATGATGGGACATGGTTTGAAGGTAAATTATTTACTACAACAATCACTAAATTGAGGTTTAATGATGGGACATGGTTTGAAGGTAAATTATTTACTACAACAATCACTAAATTGAGGTATAATGATGGGACATGGTTTTGAAGGTAAATAATTTACTACAACAATCTTTAAATTGAGGTTTAATGATGGGACATGGTTTGAAGGTAAATTATTTACTACAACAATCACTAAATTGAGGTTTAATGATGGGACATGGTTTGAAGGTAAATTATTTACTACAACAATCACTAAATTGAGGTTTAATGATGGGATATGGTTTGAAGGTAAATTATTTACTACAACAATCACTAAATTGAGGTTTAATGTACAGCATTTTGATAATTTAAATTAATATATTTACCTGCTATAAAACCTAAAGATAAATCTTTGATAGAATTAATTTCACCATTAGGGGTTGCCATCACTGATTTTAAACCATTAAACATATAAAAATACACAAAATTTGAACAACATAAAGCTGAGACAACTGGAAATAATCCACGATATAAAGCCATCCTGAAATAATTTACAACACATGATTACTACTTGAATATGTTTTGAGTTTTAATCTATTAAACATTTACAAAATATGTCTAAAACGTCAACTAAGATCATTACAACACTCATGACTGCTCATGCAACGACTGAACTTTTGACGAAAAACGTTTTAGGATTCTTTGACGGTATAAAATAATCTGAATGGGAGTTACTTGAGTGTGTAAGTGAGCATGTGATATATATACCCTGAATTCTATTAGTTGATCACAACAAATGATCAAGATCATTGGACAGCGGCACACTAGCTGACAAGATAGAACTATACTCTTAGAGTTCAACCTATACTCTTTTAGTTCAACCATAGAACTATACTCTTATTGTTCAACCATAGAACTATACTCTTATTGTTCAACCATAGAACTATACTCTTATAGTTCAACCTATACTCTTATAGTTCAACCATAGAACTATACTCTTATAGTTCAACCTATACTCTTATACTTCAACCATAGAACTATACTCTTATACTTCAACCATAGAACTATACTCTTATAGTTCAACCATAG